CATTGGTGGCATCCTGTCCATATTTCTTCTTGATGACATTTTTGAGATTGTGGTAGACCTCGGCTCCGATGCGCATGGCCTCTTTGAAGGTGCTAGCACCAATGGGCAGGATCATAAACTCCTGCATGGCGAGCTTGTTGCCTGCATGAGAGCCACCATTGATCACATTGAAGGCCTGGTGGAGGTGGAGAGGGGAGAAATGAGAGCTGCCTGTGACCTTACAATAAACTGGCGGGTGAACTGAATAATGATATAGAATATGGAGAAGAAAAAAAAAGGAAATTTATGCGTTTCATTTGGTGCAGAGATCCTCACCGGCACGGGCAAGATGACCTCGGGGTTTCCTGCAAGGTCAGCAATGTGACGATAGAGGGGGACTCCTTTCTCTGCTGCACCAGCCTTGCAAACAGCCAGAGACACACCCAGGATGGCATTCGCTCCAAACTTGGCTGTTTTAAGTACAGAAAATATCTAATTTACTTAAATTTACTAATTTACAGAAACATCTTGGATCCAGCAAGAGAGCCACACCAATGCTGCATTCACACAATAGACAGATGGATACTTTATTTATCCCCCAGGGGAAATTCATGAATGAATTCATGTCATCAGAGTGGGAAGAACAGGAAGACTTCCCATTATTCTGACTTGAGGGTGTTCACACATAATTCAAAAAAGGTTACCCTTGCTGTCAGCCTTGTACTCACATAATTTAAATAGGCTGAATTAGCTACTTTTGTGGTGTTACATATTGTATTTATGGTAGTTAACATGTGAAATCAGATAAAATCAATCCACTTTATTTGACAGTGAAGTTCTATTCATCTCCTTTCTATTTTATGTTTAGCTCTTTTATGATTAGCTGATTCTATTCTATTAGTGTTAATGCTGGATTTTATTTAGTTATAACTTTTCACCAAGTGGGAAATACAGCCACAGTTGGAAATTCCCAATATCTCTGACTCAGAGCATCACCAGCAACATGTCACTGCTCAGATATTTAAAGAAGTCTGGACTGCACTGTATATGGTTGTCACAGTCTAAGAAGCACAACTCTATGATTGTCACTTACATTTGTTCTCTGTGCCATCCATGTCAATCATCATCTGGTCAATTCTCTCTTGCTCAACCACGGATACATCCTGATGAGATGAGGGAGAACAAGTTCGGAATTATAAACATTAACAAAAATTAAGAAGACTTTCTATAACTCCATTACTACAGAATCTGGAAAGTAAAAACAAACGGAGTGTGAAGATAATGTCCTTACTTGGCCAACAAGTGCAGGTGCAATAGTTGAATTTATGTGATCTACAGCCTGTGAGACTCCTGTGACAGACACAATATTATGATTATTCCTGCAAATTTGGCAAAGCTAATTTCAAAGCCATATATTTATAAACACATGCAAGTCTTCATGCTTAAATACATACAACGAACCATGCAACAGTATAGATGATTTTTTTTTTTTTTTTTTTACATTGCTCTTATTCATCCCATTTCATTTGCAATGCTGGAGTGAGAGAGCATGCTTTTACACACAATTCACCATGCCCATCACACCTGGTCAATTCCCAAAAGCATTCAGTAATCAGTTGTTATGACTGTAATTAAATGGCAGTGTAATTAATTGCTGTAGTGTCAAACGGACAAATTTCAGTTTTTAATTAAAGGACAGGCAATGGAAACTCACTAACCCTTTCACATCTGGCAAAGAGGAAGAGAGAGAGAATACAGAGTAAAGATGACACAGGGAAAGATATAGTATTTTTCTTTTAAATTGAAGTGGGCTTCAATCTGTAAGTAATAATAATAATTTTATTTATTTATATAGCACTTTTCTTAACAAAGTTCTTCACGGAATATATATTTACCACCACATTTTACTACTAAATAATTATATTTAGTGGTAAAATATGATGAAAATGGAAACCACAACGTTATTAAAAGAAAGAAAAATTATGTACAAACCTTTCCCAAGGTAGCGAGACTTGTCATTGTCCCGGAGCTCCAAGGCTTCGTAGATTCCAGTAGATGCGCCACTTGGCACTGCGGCCCTAAACAAGCCTGAGAAATGTTCATGAAAGAAGACAAAGGAATTACTAAATTAAATTAAAAACATTAATCAAAACGCTGTAAAACAAATAAATGACCATACCTTTAGCATATTAGCTGGTGAAATTTATTATTGAGGAACAAGGGCAATAAATTCAAAAATTCACGACTTTAAGTACCCTACATTGTCACAAATTTTAGCGTAATACAGTACATTTAGACCTACCTTTGTCAGTGTAAAGGTCAACCTCTACTGTGGGGTTTCCACGAGAATCAAAGATCTCTCGGGCGTGGATCTTGACAATAGACATGGTGCAGGACCTTGAGATGAGACCGAAAAGTTAAAGTTGTTACTATCCGGGGTTTCCTCTGGACAAACATGCACTGTAGTCTGTGTCAAGTCTGACAAAAAATAATTCATGTACAAACTCAAAGTTATTTAAAAACCAATTTCTATATTACTGAAATACGTCTGGTGTCTACCTCTTTTACTCTCTTTCGTCCTTGGAGCTTACTCACAAAAATATCCTGACCTAGCTGCAAGCTTAGGAGTGCTAACAGGCATGCTACCATCCTAATTGGATTAGGCTCCTCATCTGATTAATCACATGGCAGTATGGATGCAGAAATTACTGCATCTGTTAAAGCAAAATTAAGCTTGAAGTTACAGCTAGCTTGTGTTGCTGCTGCAAAATGTATATAAATTTAAGTATTAGCACAGACTCATGACACTACAAAATTTCTGCCATACAAAAGTCATTCTGCCATTAACCACATGACATGCTATCCCCAATAATCCCTCCCCCTTTTGCTTGCCAGATAAACAAGTAGACTAACTATCCAACACATTGACTCTTCCTGCAGACTGGGCTGCACATTGGAAAAAAAGAACATTAAGGATATAGCGATCCTGTTGACAGTGCCAAAATGAATAAACACTAGATTAAAGGCGAGACTGATGCAGACACATCCAATCTAACTCACTGGCAAAGCAGATTCACTCCATGAAATCCAGCTTGTAAAAACATCCAACCAATAACTGTTCATTTACTCAGTGGAAACCATTTTAATCATAACAGGAACTTTCACTCTTGTGATTTTCACAGATCCTTGCAAAACTCTCACTGCAAGCTATTCTTAATAAAAAATGTTTTTATATTCATAATAAATACATGTTTGGTTCATTTATCCAGCCATGTGACACAAGGCAGACTTGAATCAAATCTACAATGACTGACAATTTTGTTGTAGGAATCATTGCGAGGAATTGGCCTTGAACTAAAACCTTTAGACCACCTGGGGTTAATGGTAGGCCTGGCCTGGAGTGAGGATGAAATTAGATCAGTTGATTGTATACAAATTTAGTATATAGTATATATTAGAAGAGGGTAAGGGAAATACCGGTCAGATTGACTGTTTGTTTGTAAAATCACTGCATCTCATTAGGAATCTGACGAGTTTTCACTCTGGCAAAACGTTGCTGATTTGGGATTAGGCTGTGATCAATCATTGCATAAGTTTAACATATTTAAAATATGACTATCTAACCAAATAAAATACATAAGTCGTTAAACATTAAAGCAGTATGAGTATAGAGAGTATGAACCTCTCCAAACACAACAGTCAATGCTCCAAACACAACGTTTACGACTGCAGCGTGAGCATGAACAGGTTTGGTTTAGCTAGCTAGCTAACTAAGATGAACCCAGAAAAGACGTTACACTAAAACAAGAACAAAAGCCTGTTGAAAGACAGCAACCACAAATAATTTACATATATTAATGAGAAATACGGTGGAGAAAGTACAAATAAGTGACTGTACCTAGCTGTTAACCGCAGAGGGTGATAGGGAGTTAAAGGAGTCCTTCTTCTTCTGATGTTATTACTTGGCGGTGGGGAACGGGCTTTTAAGTGAATTACCGCCACCTCGTGAAAGAAGAGTTTCTTCTTCTACTTACATTTATCCGTCATGTTAGTGGCCTTGTATCCGCGTTGCTCTTCCCATAGTTTTTAATCTGAACTACACCAGATGAGCACGATCACTACACAGAAAAGCTGTGGCCTGGTGTTTTTATGAGATGAACTAAATACTTGCATCATGGAGCATTTCGCAACTTTTGTTTTGAAAGGTGTGATATAAATAGGCCCATACCTTTACTTACGTACACGTGTATGTACAATTCCTACTGTCACACTCATTTCCTTTCATTTCCCAGTTTTGGCTGCTTAATGCTTGCTTGCTTTCTCACCTCTTACCTCCTTTTACACTCTCTCTGAACTGGTTGTCTCTCATGAGAATAGAGTCATAAACATCTCATCATGACAACCGCATTCGCATCTCCTTTCCACATTGCTGATGTAATCAGCAATGTGGAAACAGTTATCCCTGTTTTAACAGATGATGAAGTAGGGAACTCATAGTTCTGTTGTGTTTCCTGAGACATTCAAAATAGATTTCAATCAAGAGCACATGACTTATTGCACATACTTTATGATATACTTTGATGTACTTTGTTTTGTAAAGATTTACCAGTTATATCACAGCATTATGATACAATGTCCCACTATGGTAATAATTTTTTTGTCTGGGACCATTGTGTGTGTCTCTCTATGGTTATTTTGTGTCATTTTGTGTTTTTAACAGAGTTCTGTGACTTTCAAAGAAGAAATATGAAACTTCAAACAGAGGCACAGGTCCAGGGGGCAACCGACCTCTCCGGCCCTGGGCCTGTGCCTGGTAGGCAACCTGTCCATGGTTATAGGGTAATAGCAAGTCATTCTAACTAGTTTTACCTAATAAACTGGCAAATGAGTGTAATTGACTTAGGAAATAACGCCAGGCAAACTTTCACACGATCCATACCATACTAAAGCCCGCATGGTGATTCTGTCCAGCAGAGGGCAGCCATGTGTCGCAGGATCCCTACAACCTGCAGAGGAAATGAGCGGCAACCACAGAAGAAGAAACTACCCATGAATTGAATCAATGTGCTATACTGAAACATCACTGACTTTTTATGTAAAACGATCTATAAATAGACGACTGAAGTTAACTGTTTGGAGTGACAATGTCAGGAATACCTCCAGACACATGGCAGCCGCCCACAGTGGCTTTTGAGACGACGTGAGTTTTTGAGTTTTTATTAAAAGCGCTGAATGCTAACTCAGCTAGCTCGCAGTAACGTGAAGTCAGTTATGTGGTTGGTGGTGTTAACTTGGTGCGGGGCTTGTTAGGTTTATTATGTTGATACCAGAATTTCTTTCAGCGCGAAAGAAAGCTGCAAATTCTGATACTTTGCCTTGGTTATCAGAATGCTGGTTTTGTGTGTATCGTTTCATTTAGCTACACGAAGTCTCAGATCACTTCACCTGGAATATTTTAGCTAAAAACTAGAATAACAAAATCTGCTTAAAGAGGCTTGACAGTAACACTGACTGTGTATTGCAGGATGGGGACGGTGGTGGTGGAGCTGTACTGGAGACATGCACCAAAGACCTGCAAAAACTTTGCAGAGCTGGCCCGAAGAGGCTACTACAACAACACAAAGTTTCACAGAATAATCAAAGACTTCATGGTGCAGGGTGGAGATCCTACGGGGACAGGTGGGTTCATCATGTCCACTGATATAGCCAAAAGTGTGTGGTCACCATTGTGCACGTGCTTTTGTGTTCTTTTAGTCAGGTCCTTTGTTTTACAGATCCTTAAATTCCTCTCATTTCCCGGTAAGTTTACTGGAGATATTTTTTTTATGTGACAGATTCTAGGTTAAATAGTGTTTAATTGATACACATCCTTTTTAATTACTTCTAATCAATCGCTAGTGTAACCACCAGAGTTTTAAAGTTCAGTAACAGCCATTAAGCTGCACATGTCAAAATGTGACATTTGCCCACAGGCAGCATGAAGTTTAAGAAATATGGAGAATAAAGATTCCAATTACAAAATGTTGAATGAAACTCATACATTGTCTCTATTTTCCATATAGTAAAAGTAAATAAAAGTGAAGTAGCTTCCGGCTCTGCTCCAGTGCAGTCGTGTTTTCCTCTGCTTTCTGCCTTCTATATGCTTTGCGCTTGCATTATCTAATTTCCTATAGTCTACTTTTCCAAATAGAGCTGTTTGCTTCCGGGAGACAGAAAAGTTTCAGAGTCAGACCAGCAAAAGACAACATTATGGCAAAATCTACAAAGTCAGTAAGCTGCTCAGGCTGTGAACGACTGATTGAGAGAATAACAGAGCTCGAGAGGAAGATTGAAATGCTCCATTACATACTATGGTAACGGACAGACAGATTTTTATTCATGGACACTCTCCCCTCGATATGTCCTTATACCACTGGACTAGCTGAGGAGGCTCCCAGACCAGCCTTCCCTGATGCCTCCAGAGCTAGACCGAAAGCATCAACTCCAGCTAGGACCTTGGTCTGACCTGGTCGTCTTTGGCAAATCCAGGAGGACATCGAATAGGAGAGCACCAATGCTCACTCCACCACCCGAACTGTCAGTAAACAACAGGTATGATCCTCTGAACAATACTCGTTAGTATTGTTCAGAGGATCATACCTGTTGTTGCTGAACCCAGAGAAGCTAATAACACCAGCATTAAGGATAAACAAAATCCGAGAAATAGCCCCAAAATCAATGCTAAGCCTCATGTCAGGAGTAACGTGGCTAATCATGTTCAACACAGGGAATCTTAAAGAAAACTCAAGAAAAAGCCCCAAAACCACTGCTAGGCCAAGGGCCAGAAGAATTGCTGTGAACTTCACACCTGAGCCAGACACAAATTTGATTGGGGTCTCATTAACTAAGCATGTAAAAATGGCAAGGACTGAAAATCTAACCGTGACTGACACATCTGTCAGGGATCTAACAGAGATTTTACCAGCTATCCTCTCTACACACCCAAACATTACGAACATTGTTATCCTGACTGGGTCCTTTGACATTCTGCGAGGGAAAACTGGCTCTGAGATCCTGAAAAAAGACTTTTCCCTATTACTGGAAAACCTTGAATGACCGTGAATCTCAGCTGCAACATGTTTACATTTCTAGTCCAATTCCAGCTCTTGGGAAGGGAATTGAATTCTTCAGCAGACTCCTTGACCTGAATACATGGCTGAAATCAGCTTGCTTCAACCGTGGGATAAAGTTTATTGAGAATTTTGAATATCTTCTGGAACTTTAAAGACCGCTTTAAACCAGACAAGGTTCACCCAAACATCACTGGATCCAGGCTACCAGGAGCCAACCTACGTCATGCCCTTGGAATACCATACACAAACAAGAACGTCCAGATAAGCATGAACGACAGTGCGCACAGACAGACAAACAGACATTGTTTCTTCGAACGTAACTGGGATTTTAAACTGCCGGTGGCATGGTAAAACTCACCGTAGCAATCACAGACTATCTGGAATAATCTTAAATTGGTCAATACTGAGCCAAAACCAGTGTCCCTTCCTGTCACAGATCCCCAACAGCTTTTGAATGTCAAATCATCTGCTAACAACAACTCCTTCTTAGTTAATGATCTGATAACTGAAAAGAAGTTGAACTGTATGTTTTTAGTTGAGACCTGGCTAGACAGCACTACTGGTGTAGCAATACTGATAGAGACTTGTCCTCCAAACTAAAAGTTCTACCAGTCAGACATATCAGGAAAGGAGGAGGGATTGCAGCCATTTTCTCTTCACAGTTTGTGTGTAATGACACTGACCTGGGTGAATTTACATCATTTCATTATCTCGCTCTTAAATTGAAAGTAGAATTATCAATTAGGGCTGTCCCAAACGATTATTCTTTTAATGATTAATCTAGCGATTATTTTTTCGATTATTCGACTAATCTAACGATTATTTTTTTTGCAGAGTCTGCAGACTACCGCACTGTTGGTGTCAAGATTAAAGTATTCCCAAACTTTGGAGGACCGTGTGCGAGCCTTTTTTGCCACGTGTTGCTCCACACGCTCCGTCGTACTGCTGGTAGACGCCGCCATGTTGTTCAAATAGATTACACAGACGCAAATCATTCACGTAGTCAATGACTTCAATTACATCACCGCGTTGTCCCAGCCCTTGCGCTGCGCTTGTATCCGGGTAAACCAAAAGTTCCGGTTTTGTTCTATGAACATTTACCCTGTGTGGTTTTACACGACGCGTCAACACTAAAATTCCACGTCGAATAATTTTTATAATCGACAACGTCGATTACGTCGGATAATCGTCCCAGCCCTATTATCAATACTTATCATTACAGTACATCGGCCACCAGGAGATTCATCACTCTTTCTGCAGGAATTTTTCAGAGCTGATCTTACTTGGTATCACTAGATATGATATAACTTCTTAAAGGACTTGGAGGACAAGACTGATATCCGACTAGTCGGCCCCAAAACAAAAAGAGAAATGATTTTCAATAACCTGGGTAAATTGACTCCCTGGATTAAATCTGAGGTTACAAGTCTTGCTGTATCTTGGATTCGGATCTAAACTTCCCACGTCAACAAGGTGACAAAAACCTAATTTTTCCACCTTAGAAACATAACTAAAGTACAGCCATTTATAAACCAAAAGATGCTGAAAGATTGAGTCATGCCATTTCAAGCTGACTTGATCACTGCAATGCAGTTTTTACGGGGCTCCCAAAAAAAATCACTGAGAGACTTCAGCTCATTCAAAACTCTGCAGCTCGGCTATTAACCAGAACCAAGAGGAGAGAGCACATTAGTCCTGTTTTAGCTGCTCTGCACTGGCTTCCTCTTACATTAGAATGGATTTCAAGGTCCTCCTCCTTGTATACAAAGGCCTTAATGGGCAAGGACCAAGCTTCATTGCTAACTCCCTGATTAACTATTTAACTACCTCCGAGAACACTGAGGTCATCTACTGCTGCTTTATTGAAGGTTCCCAGCAACAGCTGTAGGAAAACTGGGGATGCAGCCTTCGTCAATTATGGCCCAAAGCTATGGAACACATTACATGTAGATATTAGAGATATCAGCTCACTAAGTATTTTTAAAAGAAAGCTCAAAATTTATTTCTTTACTTAAGCCTTTAACTAGCTCTGAAACTTGGCACTTTGTGCCACATTTATGCACTGCTCAGCACTTCTTTTAAATGTCTGCTTATTTAATGAATTATTATTCTATTCATTATTTTATCTCATTTTATGTTAATGTTTAATGTTTTTCATTTTAGATCAATGCTTTTAACAATGTTTTTCATTTTGTCTTTTCTTTTCATGTGAAGCACTTGGTGCATGTGATTTCGTTGTTGTAAAGCACTTTGTGCTACACACCTTGTATGAAAGGTGCTATACAAATAGATTAAAAAGTTATTATTATTATATAATTAGCACCAAATTACATGTTCAACTTACATAATTATGTTTACAGTTCCATGAATTAAATTAGAACTGGAGAATATCATGTTAACAACATGCAGTGATATTTTAGACAAAGGTGTACTTCCAACTTTGTGGCACCAGTTTAGGGTTTCCTATTTCAAGACAACAGTGCCCCTACACACAAAACTAGGTCTGTAAAGAAATGGTTTTGGTGCTGAAGAACATAGTTGCACAAAGTCTTGACACAGTCCCATCAAACCCCTTTAGGATGAACTGGAACTGCAACCAGGTGCGAGCCAGGCGGCCAGGCTCCAAAATCTTGTAGAAAGCCCTACGGGAGGAGTGGAGGCTGTTATAGCAGCAGATTAAGGATCATTGATGATCTGATTCCTTTCTTAGTCATATCTGACTTTAAACTGAATATTTTGGGGTTTTGGTTTGTTGACTGAATAAAACAAGCATCATCTAATGTCAGCCATTTGTCACTATTTCCTGACATTTTATTGACAGGACAAAGAAATCTCTTAATCGTGACAATAATTAATCCACAGATTAATCTATAATGAAAATAACTGTTAGTTGCCGCCCTAGTGACTTGTCTTGTTCTCTTTCCTTGATTGAGAGTAAATCTTGAGTTCTGTGATCTTTGTTTTCCTAACAGGTCGTGGCGGTGCCTCCATATTTGGTAAACAGTTTGAAGATGAACTGAACCCAGAACTCAAATTCACAGGTAATCACAGTTAAACAGAAGGTGGCAGATGTGAAGGAGCAAGAAGAATATACTGTAGGTTGGGGAAATAAAGAAAAAGGCTCTTTCTTGTGGTTTTCTTGAAATCTGAATAAAATAGACCAAGATAGTGTTACTGATGCCCAACTCTTAATATGTATGTGATGCTTGAATAGCGATAGCAAGTCAGAATTTTCACTTCTGTTTTTTCATTTGTGTGTCTGTTAGGTGCTGGAATTCTGGCCATGGCTAATGCAGGACCAGACACCAATGGAAGCCAGTTCTTCCTCACTCTCGGACCCACCCAATGGTTGGATGGAAAGCACAGTATTTTTGGAAGAGTTTACCAGGGGATGGGAGTGCTGAACCGGATCGGGATGGTGGAGACAAACGGTCAAGATCGTCCAGTTGATGATATCAAAATTGTCAGAGCTAATGTGCCCAATTAAGAAAATGTTGATTTTTTTTTTTTGTTTGTTTTTAATTTTTTACACTGTATTTTTTTTCTTTTTTTTTTTAATAAATGTCTGTTGAATTTCTAAATATGAAGAATTGGTATTTTTTCCATGAAAGTGACCCAGCTAACCTATGGAAATTGTTGACGGATGAAAGTAATGCACTTATTCTAATGAAGTGGTTTGAACACTTTAATTTCAAAGAAATGAAAATATTCAAGTGGAATGAAGAGTCACAGTTTTTGTTATTCGGTAGTATAAAGTTGTAGGTCTATTACTGAAAATACTGTCAAAAGTCAAAGAGTAGTCTAAAGTTTTATTGGTTGTTTGTTAAAGGTGACATTTTCTATTTTCACTTAAATTCTAAATGAATAACAGGTTGTGCAAAACAGTTAAAGAAAGAGAACAATTGCTGCACAGATACAGTGGCTTTAGAAAGTATTTAGATCATTTGCTGAACACTTTACTGTGTGAGATTTAACATTTAGTTACAGATTTAAAATATGAAATAAATAACAACCAGCTTATCAGAATCTGAGTACTCTGTAGTGGTGGAGGACACAATCAGATCTTTTGTTTTAATAAAAGTAGCAATAAAACAATTTAAAAATGCAGCACATTGATCAGAAAAATGAACTGAAGGTATAAGTACTCATACTGATAGCATATATTACACAAGTGCTTCTGTCTTCATACTGTTATTTAAATGATACCATGTGTAAAGAGGGAAAACGCCTCTTTTGGAGCAAAAGATTTTTGCAGGAGACCCCCAGACTAATCTATGACCTCTGATTCTCAGCAGTTATTTAAACCTGACAATCATTTATTGATCACTTGTCCACAAACTGGTTTACTCCCTTCTTCACATGCATACACAATGACAATGCACAACCCATATTGCCCCAGAATGTATTTTATTATATAAATTTCAAGTCATATAGAAAGACAAAAATTATATAAAAAACCCTCTTCAGTATATTAATACAATAAACTACTATGTACCTAGAAAGGTAAAAGTAATGTTTAAGGCACTATGGGATTCGTATTATAAATTCAAACAGCAAGTAGCTTAACACTTATTTTGACAGCCTGAGGATGTGAATTTATTTGGCTTAATATATTCCCCTATATCTTTTAAAAAAATGTAAATTAGGTAAAATACACACAATGTATTAAATATAACAAAAGTAAAAGCATAATAATTTTTTAATTTCTCTTCATGAGTCAATGGCAGTCAAAAAGGAAATGTTGGAAATCAAATCAGCTTTTAAAAAGACCACACCAGTGTAATGGTTGTTTTAGTTTGAGTTCACATTACTACAATATGAAGATCAACTTTTGAATGATGATCATGTTGATGCTGTAATACCAGCAGCTTTGGAGAGATTCACAGATGGAATCACATGAATGACTTGGTCTGTTATAATAAGGCTGCTACCCAGGCCTGTTCAGTTAGAGAAACAGGAGACCGCGGAGAACAAAGGGGAGGAATGAGGGTAAGAGCACCAGAGGTAGCAGGGGTGAACAGCAATTATGAGTCTGAACTGAATGCTGTGTTGGAAATATGCAGAAGAGGTCACTGAGGTCAAAGGCAGCTTTGTTGAAGCCTATCTGTCTTCTTTTTTTCTAAAATTAAACAGTTTCATTTCAAGGTTTACAGAGCTTCTGGTTGTATATGATAAAACCAACAGAAAAGTTTAAACACTTGTTTTATATTTCTTTAAAAAAACAGTTCAACATTTTGGCAAATACCCTTGTCTTTTTCTTAGATCTGTCTGAAGGAAACAAAATCCATCTACCAGCACCTAAAAAACCCAAGTGTAAAAATAACATGTGTTTCCTATGTGTGCTGAACTATTCCTTCGCTGGAAGTGGTAACAAAGGCAGAGTTTGTTACCTTTGGTCATAGCTAGGCTAGCTGTATCCACTTGTTTACTACAGCCTTTATGCTAAGCTAAGCTAACCAAGGCTGATTTCAGCTACATACTGTATTTACCTTATAGACATAAGAGATTTGATTTGAATGATTGAAATATGCCTTTAAAGCTACTACACAAATACACAATGTTCTGCCAAAATTAGACGATTGTGGTTACTTCATGTGTCTCTGCAAGTTAATTTTAATAGCATACTACATGAACAGTGGCTACCTACTCCACCAGCTGTAATGCCCTGCCAGTTGTTGGCAATAATGTAAAAGTTTTTGTTTTCTGGTGAATAGGCTAAAACATAAAAAAACATTGTAGACCTTTAGATTTGGAGATATTTGAGATGTGGATTGTAGAAAAGAGCTTGTAAATCAATATAGTATTTTGTATATTCAGTATCTGCAACAATTTCAAATATAATTCAATGAAAAAAACAGACATTAGACAAAAAAACGAAACAAAAACAAAACAACAACTTTATATTAGATATTTGATAGACATTTGATATGTACTGTATTCAGATAGGTAACCTCACATTAAAACAAATATTGGTATATGAATACTAACCACCATATATATAGAAAACAACCTGCCCTACATATTTTTAAAATAAAAAAAGAAAAGTTATTTTTAAAGGATTAGCATTTCATTGAATATTGCCATGTTTTCCACCATGACGGACATGCAATATAGCACTGATGCTTGCCATTTCCTTTGCCATCACTGGAAGGTCATCTGCAGGCTGGGAGCTTTTCTTGAGGCGCTAGAGAAAGGTATTAATATTATCATTATGTCAGTATATCACCTGCAGCAGCACAGTATGCACAGGCAACAAAAATAGGTTCGAGTGAAGTTAATCAATTTAAATCTTTGAGTTAAAATAATCATAAGTCACCACTGACCTGCCAGAGAGTCCCTTTTCCTTTGGCCAGTTTGCAGATCATGGTGACTGGAATCATAATTAGAGATGACATGGCCAGAAACCAGCCGATCCAGTAGGCCCACCAAGGATACACATAGGAGTTGTTGAACCTCAGGGGTGTGTATCTCAAGATACAAAATATAAATGTGCCCTATAAAAGGAGAAAAATCACAAATATAAACATTGTAGGATCAAAATGAAAGATTATTAATATACAATAAATGTAATGTGTTCTGGACCGCTGAAGACACTTACGCTGCAAATAAGAGGGGTGGCATACAGCCAGCAGTACTTGATCAGTGAAAGAGGTTTGTACCCAATCATGTCCTCGATGTTGTCATAGAAGCGTTCAGCGCCTAAGAGAAACGCATTGCATAAGCTCGGTTCGATGCTCTATACATGCAATACAGATTAAAGCATCTGTTTTTGGCAGCGAACAAATATTGACAAGCATCTTGCTTCTGCTCTCAAAATGCCTTTGTTCCAGCCACTATGTGTGGGTTGTAAGTTTTTCTCTCAATAGTTTTGGCTAAACAATCTAGACATTATACTAACTGGCTAAAGCTAACCTCTTGCTAATCACTTGCATTCTAACTAACTGTTAATTAGTTAGGCTAACTGTTGTTTTTTTATTCCTCTTGTGGACTTGTTTTTGTTTCCAATTACTGCATTGCACTTGTTGCGGAGACTCAGTTTTGTTCTTATGTTGATGATACCAAGTTTCTTCCTTGCATATTTTTCGTTCTAGATGCGATAGGTAAGCTGTTGGCCTAGTAATGCCACCATTTCAGTATTCCCTCTCCATGTAAGCCGCACCCTCTGCCTCTCACCGGCAGGCACACACACACACCTGGAGACTATTGTCACATTAAGAGTTCATATATGTAGGATTATGTAGCACTTAGACCTCAAGATAGACGCATTTTGTCCCATGCGGCTAGGGAACAGGCAAGTCTCCTGGAAGGAATGTTTTAAAGCGGATTTTGTTTTTATCCTTGATAAACACTCTTTAAAAAAGACTTTCACCTTATTACTAGATGCACTGTAAACAAACTGTTGCCCAGGCCTTGCTGGCTAAGTAACCTGCTTTCAAGGTATGACTAGCGGTTTAACTTAATGCTGGGTAACACATGGCATTAGGTGATTTTAACATTTTGTATATGTGATATATGGGAAGGCATTGGAAGTTGAAATCCTTCTGAGGTAAAAGTTAACTTGTAGTTTATACATCCAGTTGTACATGTAGGTATATATTGTCTGTGATGTATAATTTTGGTCTACATTATACTAGGACTTTCTAATCCTCAGAGGCATAGTTTTACCTCACTAGCCCAGTTTTCTTATTAGTTTACAAATTCATTGTAACAATACCTTACTGATTACCATCACTGCATTGGCCATGCTTTTTTCCATTAGTTTTCACAGTGTGACAATTTCCTCCTTCAAAAACCCTTGCAAATTATGTTTTCTGAGCTGGCACAAAGCAATTACATCTTTTTTTTCTAGTAGTTTAAGTAGTCAGTGCTTTGTGGAATAAGGAACTAAGTATACATACTGACATCTTTTAGCATACTTAATTTAGCCACTTTTTCAGGGCAAGAGCACTTTATATTCAAACCCTTTAGAATTAATACATATAATGGAATTTGTTTATAGGCAAAGGTTGAACAGTTAGTGTAATATCAATATAACATACTGTATATAGCTAAACCAAAGATGATTGTACCACTGGCAGCTGTATCTTACCATAAATCCATCCAATGACAACAGACTGGAGGATTGCCATCATTAGAAGAGTGGGACCACTGCATACATAGTGATCAAAGATTTGCAGAATGTATGCACCAGCCTAAAATTAAAACAAGGCAATACATTGGTCTGGATATCAATCGCCTTTTAGTTTGTATAACGACTTAAACTGATTTAAGTCCTCAGGAGTTTAGATGCTGTGTTTTAGATATTTAATGATCAGGCTGCAAATCACATGATGAATTCCTTGTGACCAAATATGAATGTTCTCAAAGCTCACCTCAGACACCAGTAACAGTCCAAATGTATAACAAATAGCACAGATGAACAACAGGACAAGCTCTCTGCGGTATCCTTTTCGGAACCGGGAAGGGTAGATATCCGTTAAAGAGGTCATGATGCTCTCCAGGCCAGCAAACTGGAGAGTTACAGAGAGACAAGTTAGTGTAAAGAACAACAACAAAAAAGCATTGTGGAACATTTTCTGGAAGAAAAGAGGACGGCTGCAGCTGACCTGACCATCTATTCCTAACAAGATGATCATGGTGAAGAAGCACACGGACCAGACCTGAGGCCATGGCAAAAGGGTCACAGCTTGTGGGTATACTATGAAGACAAGGCCAGGACCTGCAAAGAGAAGCCATCACTGAATAAGTCATTGCTGCCACAGTGTCTTTTTTTCGATGCTGTAACTTGAGGGTGACAAAGTCAGAAATGTTCTTATTCTGCACAAGTTAATAAGCTTACCACAGTGTCAGAGCTGAAATGTTACAGTATCTTGTGTGCTCATTGCCAATTTGAAGATTTCAGGCAGAATAATAACAGGTTAAACAGAAAATTAGAAAGCATCATATTTACTAATCATCAGAGCAGTTCAGTTGTTTTTACATTTTTATTATATGAGTAAAAACAAAAAGGCAATACTGAGGAAAAATGTAGTTAACGTCATATAGTCTACAGTTTAAAATCATATTCGTACCTGACTCAGCAACTGCAGAAATAGCAACACCCTGTTTCACTGACATATAGCCAAGAACTGAGAAGATGGCAAAGCCAGATATAAAACTGGTTCCACTGTTCAATAAGCAAAGATAGAAGGAGTCCCTGCAAATCAGAAACAATGCTGTTTATTGTTATTTCTGGGTAAAGGACTGATAAAGTTGTGATTATGTTGTGACCATGTTTCAGAGAAATAATACACAGTAAGTACAGTACATGCAAATCCAAACAACAAAATTAAAATGTTTTGAAGAAAAAATTATAGATGCACCGATTACAAAGGTTGACATTGAAATCACAATCTTATATGAACTGTTTCGTTTGTTATGCACGTGTTCACTGATACCTGTGTACAATGGCCATTCACATAACCACAGAGCAACATCACAGTACAGATTATGATTGTGTCCTACTTTTGCAATACCACAATTAGCTGCAAACCATTTGGATGCTGATAATGAGCTTATGAACTACTCACCTATAGCAGTTGTTGTTGTACTTGTTGTAGCTCCCAAGCGTAGTCAGACATCCCAAACATATGGCATAGGAATAAAATATTTGTGTTCCAGCATCCATCCAAACCTAGAAACCAGTGAAAAAAAAAAGTTTTGATTTTCAACACTGTCACTTTAGCTATAGAATAGTCCAGTGCAAAGTAGAATATAGGCTGAATGATACCTGTGGGTCAGCGAGCCGTGCAATATTGGGATACAGGTAGTACTTGATCCCACTTAAGGCTCCAGGAAGGGTTATTCCTCTGAAGAGTAGCACTACTAACATGACGAAGGGAAATGTGGCTGTGAAGTAGGTAGCCTACATTTAAGCAGAAAAACCCATTGTTACAAATTAAATAATACCAAACTGTAATCCATTTTTGGAGCCACATTGAGAAGTTTGATTAGGCTGTTGAGTGTGATGTTGCGTAGTTAGTTGTGGTGGTTCCCCAGTGCACCAAGACGTTATCTCACAGCCCAACAAGGTTACAAGTATTGTGACATTCTTTTACCACCCTGGTTTGCCTACACATCCTTAAAATAAAACATAATAAATCATAAAATAAATCATAAAATAAATCATAAAACATATGGTTTCAAGTGTGAATGAGGATTTATCCTGGGAAATACACCTGACCTGCACTGTGAACCTATTATAGTAGTAGGATATCTGCAGATATTATAGTACAACAGCAAGAAAATGTGTCACACTATTTGCAAGTGAAAAAATAATAACTTCATTAACTTTAAAGGTCAGAGGTCAAAGGCCAGATGATTCATGCCTATCATTTGCTCTTGAGGCATTGGACTAAAAATGCAAGAGTTAGGATCTAAGAGTCATTCACAGTGTGTAACTCTGGGACACAGACACCCAGGATCCATTGCAAAGATCTCTCTCACGGGGAAGTTTGCCAGGCAGCGCTTCCAGTTGACTTTCTCAGAATCACAGACCTCACGCCGGCTCTGCTCAACTGCTGTGTCAAAACGGTGTCAAAACTGGCCCGTAGCCAGTTTTGACACCCTAGTGAAAAACATCTGTCATTAATAGTGCCTTCAAACGTTCCTTGCTTGAGAGAGAGTGGCAGGTGAGAGTTTATTGCATGTGGCTGCAGGTCTGAAGTAATCACAAGAGCAAAACAGCATTCATATTATGTGAAGATTTCCACTGATTTGCCAGCCCTGTCTTATCCTTGGGGGAGGCGCCAAAGTGTATACAATACTACATGTTATATACATAGATACCAGAGAGTAGAAGCACTGATATTTATTTATCATGTTGATTTTTCCTAGTCTATTTTAAAAGGACTTTATGCATAACTTTTGCAAATCTGTATTGAACTGGAGCAGCATTAGCAGACCAGTATCCTAAAGAAATCTCTGGTTTGGTGAGATTTTAATTCACAAGTCCAGTCTCAGGCATGTCCACACAGGGGAGCCAACTTTGACAGCCGCCGCACAAACTATAATTATCACCTCATGATTATACACCTCTGGCAACTAGCTGCGTCTCAGTTTAAATCCATGTCTGTCCAGACTCTTATAACATATGTAGTGAAGACTTTTAAGACTTTACTAAAAAGGTACTAAGGGTGTTTTTTATTTAAGTTTCAAGGTCAGCACCCAAGACTAGTTTCAACAATTCAGTATCTGACCAACTGTGAAATACGGTCACAATCTCCCCCTTCTCTGTCCAAGTTACAATGTTGATTAATGGCTAGTGTTTTTGCAGAGCATTGTGATGTCACAGTGAAGCTAAACTTTGACTTTTATACTATTTATATAAAATTTCATCACTTCATCATTTTATCCTATTAGACATTTGTGTGAAATTTGGTCATAATTAGCGCATAAATAAGTTATGGCCAAAAACATGTCTTGTGAGGTCAGAGTGATATTTGACCTTTAGCTTTTGACCATCAAAATCTAATTGGTTCATCCTTGAGTCCAAGTAAACGTTTGTGTCAAATGTGGAGAAATTCCCTCAAAGTGTAGCTGAGTTTTCACAACAGACAACTTGCTAGCACAGAGGCATAAAAATCTAACCTAACATAGTGTATGTCTGCGCCTTTTGAGCTTCTCATTATTTTTCATGCTATACCACTCTGCTCAGGTAGTGCCATACTGTAGCAGTTTCAGAGGAATGAAACCACCATGCTTGTATTAATGAATTTGTGTATTCAAAACAGCTACTGATTACAAAAAGCTGGTTGAGAAAAAATTCAGAATTATGCCTATAATAAAATTTCTATTATGCCTTTCATAGAATTACACCACTAAGAATGAATTGCATGTTATCTCATTCGTTGACATTTTAAGTTTAGCCCACTAAATGGATGACTCTGGTCAGTTGTATCAACTTGTAACGAAATATAACGTAGGCTATTTCAATGTGTAAACACGTGCTGCTGTAAAGACCCTTCCCTTGTTCCCACACAACTTTTTGGTGGGTCAGAATAAAGCTAGTAACATTTCAAATTCAGTCTCCTGAAAATCCTTCCTCTCTAAAATATGAAAAAATAAAGAAAATAAATTAAAAAATTAGAAATGAGTCAGGGAAATAAAACCTCATTTTAGAATACATGACGAGCCTAATTTCTGAGTTAAGATATGTCGTTGCCGTCGTACCTTTCCGGTGGATCTCACTCCCTTCCAGACACAGAAGTAGCAGATGATCCAGGACAGAAGAAGGCACAAAGAAAGGTCCCACTGTATGTGTCCTAAGGCCTCTATCCCGGTTGATATATTTAACACCCGCCTTCTGTAAGGACCAATGTATTGTCAGTGTATATGAACCAATTATATGAGGCAATCTACTGTACATGTTAACAGTCTCATGTTTAGACTAAAGAGGACAGCATGAAACGTACCATCGGAAGCAGTATGCAGTGGCTAAAATAATAATTCATAATAATAATAACAACAGCAACAACAACAAGCTGCCATTATTAGTAGCTATTAGTAGTTACATATCTGATTGACATGTCAAAAAGTCCATTGTGAAAGTGCTTATGATAAAAGAGCTGAGCAAACTATACTTGAGTAATTAAAGGCCTTCCACACCTTCAGTCCACAGGTTTTTTTTCAATTATTCTGGCTGAATAGATTAATTTTCAAGGTGAAGCTATATGGGGACTTATACTGGGAGTTTGCATTATTCAACAAATATATCTAAGGCTATGTGCCATGAATTATGCAACTAAATTACCAGAAATGGCAGTTTGTACACACCAAACCAGTCCTGAGCAAACATCCAGTCTTCCAAAATAAGAGCAGACATCTGTGGGACTGGATCATGGACATGTGAGGTCTTGAACATTTCTGCAAGTGTCACACTATACCTAAAAATGTCTGACCAGGAATATAGTATCATTGTGGAAGAGCTCTGTTTTCCAGTCGACACCATAGATTGAGATTGTATTATGTCTTAATTATGGATTTGTGAACATTCACCCTTTCTAAAAGCACAGGTCTTTATTACGCAAGTTTACTTGTTTTGTGATGCACTGATGATCTATAACTCACTTGTATTAAATTGAGTTTCATTGAGATAAACACTTACTGCCAAAACTCTCTAACAGATGATGATGAATTCACCGGTGAGGTCCAGTTAGCAGTGGCATTATAGTTGTTTAATACCACACAAGCATCTGAAATGAATCAAAGTATTGTTAAACACAGTTAAAACTGAAAATGCATTCCCAACTAACAAGAGTAGATCAGTAGTGATTAAGTAATACATAAACCAGCTTAGGTAAATTCCAGTTGCTTAACCCAGACATCATACTTAACAATACAATGAAACAATGCCATCCAGTTTTATATACTGGAATAGACGGATTTAGTAAATGGTTTACAACACACTTTAATGTAGTTATAAGCCGATATATGCACATTTTAAGTGTTTGTTAATATACAGTATTTGACAGCAATTACAATGTCTCCAATGAACACCTGTTTTATATTATTACAATTATGTTTTACTTTGTCACTTATATCTGATTATAACTACATTCTGGTGTGCTATACGTGTTTAGGTATATACAGCCTCAAATGTTACATTGAGGGACTTAAAGTAAAGTGTCGCCACATTCTTTTATTAGTATGATGTTAAAGCAAACTTCAGGATAGCGGATGAATTTACCTGTATTCCATGTGTTATTACAGGTGGCCCATGGCAACTCTCCAGAGAAGGAAGAGAAAAAGTAGAGAAACCCCCAGGCTAAGATCACAATGTAGCTGATACATCCATAGAAAATGATAATTTGGCTGGCGTAACCTATGCCTGGACACAAAATAAATTGATGCAAAATGTTAGCATTGCCTTCCCTCAGTATTTCTTCATTATCTTGCCAAACTGCTTAGTATCACAGTTCTGGCAGGTGCACAGTATCTCACCTTCAAACAAGGGACAGATCTTCCTCCAGCACATGTTTCCCGCCTGACTGGTGTATTGGCCCAGTGCTATCTCCAGTATGAACAGGGGGATACCACAAGTCACAAGGAACAGGATGTAAGGAATGAAGAATGCCCCTGCAAGTGTTAGTGAAGCACAAGAATCCCTTAGATTGACTGGATTATTTCTTGGATTTTTCTACAGACATTGATGCATGAACTGTGCTTGCCATAAATCTTTTGAGTTCGAGACATGCTCATTAACCCCAGGCGTTTTTCACAGACACGTTTCTATGACATGTCACAATATGAAAAAACAGGTTTATTCAGTGTCAGGATCCTGCTGTTGTTCATGCTGGCTCACTGTCTCACTGTTACTGGAACACTTGGATAAAACTTGTGTAATTTGGGAGTGTCTAAATTCTGTGTGTATAAATATCTCAATAAATCAGAATATGAGGATTTGCAGCTATCTGGATATGAAACAGTCACGAACCTTTTTTTTAAATTGTGCAGCGGAGTAAACATTTTTTCATACAAGTGCTTTTTTGGGGATTCTGTAATTAAGGATCATCTGGATTTTTAACAGACTTTGACACAATACTACTATTTCAAATGATCAGTGTTGTAGTGTAACTTACATGTAACAGGATTACCTAAGTAAAGTATTAAAAAAAATGCAATTGTAATCAGTTTCTGAGAAGTGAAATGTAATTAAATTACTTTAACTAATCAAAATGCTTGTGATTGATAAGGGGTTACATCCAAATATATTCTTTTCAGTAAAAAGCTGATATGTACAATATAACATTCATTCTATAGCTTTGCATGTTTTGGCCAAGCAGGAACACCTTCTTCTGCCATCTATCTATCCATCTATCTATCTATCTATCTATCTATCTATCTATCTATCTATCTATCTATCTATCTATCTATCTATCTATCCATCTATCTATCTATCTATCTATCTATCTATCTAACTGTCTTGAATAAGCAACAGAGGACCAATCATGTGATTTCTTTTTTTGTTGGAATACTATTAATAGTGAAATGCATGTCCCTCTTACGTCAAACTCTTGTAAGATTTTGTCTCCATATTGTACAACACATATTTTAATCGTAAACCCGACAGTGTTTTGTGTTATTCCATGTGTGCCAAGTGCTTGTCGACAATGCTGTAGCATTTTACAAAAATACTGTACTTTGTGTCTATCCCTAGGGGATAAATAAACTATCTATCTATCTATCTATCTATCTATCTATCTATCTATCTATCTATCTACTAAAGTTTCTGAGTAAAGTCCAATTATGTTGCCACATAAACTGCTGTAAACAAATGCTCAAAAGTACAAGCTCTGCTGAAATCAGTTCAAATCAGTTACAGTTCACAGTTAGTTCAGTGTTGGAGACATGCAGAAATTTTGGTGACAGATGCAATGATAAGTATGTATTATGATATACATATGTAGACATATGTAGTATGATAAGTAAATAAAAGTTGGGAAGGATTTAATTTGCCACTGTTGAATGTTGATCTTGAAATTGGTGAAAGCATTGAAAGCATGAAAGCATGGTGTTATAGTATATCTCCACAATAAAATGTGGTTCTTTACCTGGAACAGTGTGATCTGACCAAGTAAAATTGTTAAAAATAGAGTAATGGTTAATGGATGTTGTATAGTCATCATGTAAGAGATGTGACAGAAGCACCAATAAAAACAAAACATCTTATCTAGTGAACACATAACTAGTCAAGCCTGTTGTTGCCGGGTTCACTGTAACCAATTACATTTCAGGTGAATGACTTAAAAACCCTTACTTGAACCACCTTGTGTAAAAACTGCTCATGTTTGAATCACTCAGGATGTGAAATCAGTTTGAGGACTGTGGTGTTTTATAAGTAAATAAAAATTGGAGGGATTCGGCAAAGAATGTGACTCTGCTCTTTGCACAAACGGAAGCAGTACATATTTTTATAGCCTTTCATAACCTGTCAGATCATTAAACATCACATGTGAAGCAGAAGGAGACACAGACAGAAAGGAAGAGTGTTATACAGTACAGTTTTCATGGTTTGACTAAATACAGGGATTTAGAAAAAAAAAAAGAATTTCTATAAATGTATAATGCAGTCATCAGTTTATCATATGTAAGATACTGTGCATTTTTCAAGTTTAAGAAGTGTGATTTCCCTTAGTCCACTGTGACTTTTTTTCATTAAATATCTTATAGGAAAAATTTCCTAACAAGTCAAATAAAGCAAATAAAAACTATATATAAAATAACTATATTCTCTAATAAAAAAAAAACAAACTAATAATTGTGTCTTGGTGGATAATGAAACAATATCCTAACAATTTACTTTCAGTTTCTTTAGTTTATAGAGTATATAAGAGTTGTAAAAAGTTTTGTAAATGATCTGACACAATACTACACATTTTTTTAAGGTGGGGTAGGAGTAAGAATAATAATATGAGAGAGTAATAAATAGAAATACTCACCACCACCATTCTTGTAGCATAGATATGGAAATCTCCACACATTTCCAAGTCCGATAATGGCACCAGCTGTAGACAGGATGAACTCCTTTTTACTACCCCACTTTCCACGTTCCTCAACTGTTTGTGAAGTCATCTCTGGAGGGAGATGGAACAGCCTGCACAGAGAGTCTGCCATACCACTGAGGAAGAAGTGGTCTTATGGCAAGTCTGGCATAGATCCACGAGTGTCTGCATTGACTGGCTGGGGACTGTCTGAAGCACAATTCGTACGGGGCTACATAATTGACAGACTGCAAGGTGTTTTAGCCACAAGGGGGACCTCTAGATTTACGAAGAGTAAATTGCCAGCAAGTACTCAGTGTGACTAATTCCTTTTTGGACATGGTATTGAAGGCTTTGAAAGCACGGTATGAATGACTGATAACCAGTAGACGTGTTGTTTTACCCAAGGCAAATACATTTCTAACACAGTCACGAATACAGATTAGCCTGTCAGTCTTAAATCTTAATTTATATAAATATATAAATATACATTTTGCACAACAAAACTTCAGATAAGGAACTTCAGATAATTACCTCTGAATGCCACCAAGTGAGCTTTTGTCAGGGATCCGAGAATTTCTAATTGCTGATTTTGTGTTATTTTCTATGTGCATTGCACGTGCTTCACCTTGCTAAACTCCAAAGTGCCAAGTTGCCTTCAAGTACAGCACTTTTTTATAGATAGATATATTTAGAGGAAAATGTATATGCATTGCCAGATGATTTCACAACTCTGGGCATCATAGCTTGAGCGGACAGAAACAGTACATAAAGACTGCTCATGTCTGGAGGAAACTTGACCAATAATCAAAGGCATACATTTTAGGATCCAAGCTGCCAGACACATAAATCTTTATATGTGATATAAGTTTTCACCAGAATGAGCCAATCCAAGTAACAGGGGTACTTCAGGGTGATGGCAAGTGGCCATTAAACCGATATACCCAAAGCAAAATTCATTTAACAGTGAAAAATGTCCCTTTTTAGTCAGGTATTCATGTACAATAATCACAGCATGATATTTGTGACAGAACACTTGCATACAAGATATTAAGAGGTTATTTCTGTTCAGGTGAAAAATATACCCTGCTTACAGCCATAAAAATACATGAACATATAGATTATACGGTATGCTTTCATGTAGTTGTCCTATCTCAACTTCAAAGTACAAAGTTGATTATATAGTAAGTATACTATATAGGCATATAAGCTCTCTCTTATCTAATGCAGTTGCAAAAGCACTGTTACAGCTCCCCCCCTTTTCCTGCTCCAAGAGGATTATTCCTGTGCAGCTCAGTATTTTAAGGTCACAGCAGGGAGCACTTCAGGATCTCTGGTCCTTCCTTTAAGTGCAAAGTGACACTTCCAGCAGCTACTGTAGCTTGTTGCTTGCTAATGTGGGCTTCTCAGCTTTCACACGAGAACATTTGGTCTTTCCTGCCAAAGCTCTGAAATAATCACCAGTGGCGGAAGTATTCATATCATTTACGCAAGTCAAAGCAGCGCCACCACACTGAAAATATACTCCTGTAGTCCTCGCTGTTATAATCAATTACTGTTCTTTGGGGACCCGAACAACAGAACACTCAGGAGCGAGTTGAATTGCATATTTATTATAAAAGGGAGATTGTGTCAAGGCAGGAGATGACTGGGTGATGAATGAGAGGCAAGCACGTGATGAATGGCAGTGGTGAAGCCATGATGGAGGAAGTGACTGAGAGAAAGGCAAGGCAGGCGGTGAGTGGATGAATGGAGGGTCCATTGATGAGGGAAGGCTAGACTGATAATGAATAGCAGGCAGGCATGCAAGTGAGTGAGCGAGCGAAAGAGAGAGCGAGAGAGAGAAAACAAGGAAGATTGGAAAAACCCTGGACCCAGGACACCTACCTTCAGAATCTTACTTGAAGCGTAAGCAGTATTATATATATATTTATATATATAATATACTTTTTTTAGATCATTACTGATGCATTCATATAATTCATTCATAGTATATAAATTGATCATGTTTTTTATTTAAAATCTGAAAAAGTGTATAGTTACTTGGTAACAAGTATAGTACTGTTAGATGATGGGGAGTAAAAAGCAGTTTCCTCTGAAATAGAGTGGAATACAAATATAAGTTGTTACTGCCAGAAACAGGCTTTATCTGTGACACCTGAAAGGAGGGGAGTGAATTCTCATGGTTCTAGGCAGCTTAAATTTGACAGCAGTAGGGTTATAATACTCTCAATTGGACCAATATGCCAGAGAGAAAGTTTCCTAGAGTCAGTTTTTAAAGAGAATATTCTTCGATCATGCATTGAGTAACACGCAAGAAAACATTCCATCTTAAAAATTGCAAGTAGCGGCCAGTAGCCTTTGAGCTGCAGAGTGAATTCAATTGTTAATTAGTAAAGGTGAAAAGGCAGAAATCATGCTTTCATTCATCTTTCACTCTTCGGACAGCGTTTTTTGTGATGCATTTGCAAAGAAACCTGACAAAGTCAGCCTATTACACTTGGACAGCTTGTGCTGCTTCATGCTGCTGGAAATGAAAGCTAGTTTAGCTACGTTTTCATAGCCTTGCGTACTAGTTCCGCTTGACTGCTGCCTGCATTGCAGCTTATCCCCTGAACGGATGTTTCCATTGTGGCTTCATTTGCTCAGCACAAATAAGTAAATGAAATCATTCAAAACGCAAACTACTTGAGTTCATTCATCTCTGCTGCCTAATGTCATGGTAATTACAAATTACTACATGGTATCATCTAACATTACTTAGTTGGATGTTTGGCTGACTGCTGCATCATATTGCCAACATGATGAAACTGTTCATGATCAACTGATCATGTAGTTGACTGATGTATGTAAACTTGCCACTGCAGGAACCTTTGAAACAAGCCGCAACTTAAGCGTGCGCATGCATGCATGTTGTTTAAGCCAGAGGTGGCCAAGAACCGGATCGTTTTTCTGCTGTTACAAGATCAGAATCAGAGGAATGTTACGATGAGTTACTGAGGCCAAGAATTTCCCAAAGTGCTGGCCAAGGGGAGTCTAATGTCTCAAGATGAAAACCTTATTGCAAAGCTACCTCTAACGCTTAGAGACGCAGAGAGAGCCGAGTTAAACAAATATTAGCTTGGATTTGGAGTCTGGGTTTTGATGGGGCATCATGAAAAGTTTGACTCACCAGTATACAGACCTTGATGAGTCCTTTCTTTTGGTCGAACTGTTCAAGCAGCAATAAAGTGACCAGACTGACCACAGCACAAGCACTCACTCAGGCTCATCCTGCGCCGTCTTTCAGCCAGTGAAAGTTTGGATCGACCCAACTGAATGGGCTCCTCCTCAGGATCACCAGCTTGCAGGGAGCTTGGAGCGGTGGAATAAACGGACGAGGATGTTCCAGCAGACGACTATCTAAACTGATGGCAAGGGACACATGTTGACAGGTTAGTGAATTCATCTTGGAAAGCTAATTCATCCTCGAGCAGTCCATTTAATCCTTTAACAAAAACCCTTTGGAGCACCTCATCATTCCAGCATGAATCTAAAGCCAAACTCCAGAGCTCCACTGAATATTCAGCTACACTCCTTGTCCCCAGTCGAAGATTGAGCAAATGGTTAGATACATTTCCTTAACAATTTGGGTTGTTAAATACAGCTGTTAGCCAAGACACAAACTCAACATAGGAAACTGTGTTTCTTTTGCATTTACTGCCTCTTAAAAGCTCTTCCCATCATACCATACTATACCTTGGATTTATTGTTGTAGAATTTAGGAATAATAGCTTAAGGCTGGGACTGGGAAGCACTGGAGGGCAGGATGGGCAGCAGAGTAGAGGACTGGGCTGGACTGGAGGACAAACACAGAGCAGGCTGGGTGCCAGATCTCAGGCTGGGGTTTATGGATACAACAAGTAGCTGGGTGAGGCGGGAGCAGGGGCAAACAATATTTAGGCTTGAGTCAAAAAGCAACACAAGAAATTATGAACTCAGAACTTGGAGTTTGGCCATAGCAAGGTACCACAAGAGTGAATGGACAATCTGGTGAAGAGTGGAGTGAGGAGTCAGGGTTTAAAAACTGTAGGAGCTTGTTGAGCTGAGCTGTGGTGGGTGTGCAGGTGGTTTGGCAGAAGCAGGAGTCTGAAAGGCCACACCCATCAAACACACACACACAAACAGAGACAAAAACAAACTGAGGACAATAAACATAAGGAAGGGGAAAACAACATGAACACAAGGGAATGAGGGAGAGTAAAAGCTGATACCTGACAAACGTATAAAATGAAAAGTAAAGTAGTAAAGTACCTCAAGATTGTACTTAAGTAGCTGACTTGAGCAAATGTACTTTTCACCACTGAATTCTATCATAATTTCAGGAGAAATGTCATAAGTCTGAGCCTGTATGTATTGATTTTAAAATAGAATAGAAAACTGATTTTAATTGTGTCTCTTTGAAGTAATATACAGTCCAGAACAATACACAATAAAAATAAATAATGTAAATGTAAGGTGTATAGATACAACATGAAAGTCAATACAAAATGAAACAATTAGATTTTTTGAAGCCTGAACATAATTTGACAAAAAATGTTTGGCCCTGCTCATTAAGTAACCAGGCAAAGTGAAAGTGCGTGACTTATTTGCAGTGGGAACAGCAATGAATGTTATAACATAAATAACTGCAGTGTTTTAGACTTACTTTCCTTACACTGACAGAATATATATTACATCTGACAGTATTATTACTTCAGCAAATTTAGTGAATCAATTTCACTCTCCTGTCAAATGCCCTTGACATTGCCCCCAATTTGGAATACATTTTCCTGTTTGGTTACCTGTCAAGGATATTTACAACATCAGTAAAAGAGCCACAGTGGTGTCTAAAAGTCTGGCTCCACTACCAAAAAACTGCCTGTCAAACGATAAGATATATATGAATATATGATTGCGCAACTGACTTTTCAAACACTGTCAAATGATACATTTCCTGGCTTCACATATTTTCTTTTTTTCTTGCTGACAACTGTTACACCCTACCTTTAAGTGGCCTTAAGGGATGCACAAAACTCCACCAGTGACCCAACAAACTCATAAGACTCCTCTAAAATGAGCTAAATTTATCTAAATTTAAAGCCTTCCTTCCTAGGCCAGGTGCATCTCATGAAGGAATCAGGGTGGGCCTGGGCAGAGCTATAGGGGAGACAGGACAGGGAAAGAACGGAAAACACTGGAATGGCATGCTGCCATAACACTATGCTCCTCAACATAAAAACACTGCGGTGTAGGAATTGAATGACATTGGAGACTTAAGGCTATTGGTAAATAAACATTTCGGCTTAATTAATGGGATTTTTATTTCACTTTGATATTGCCAATAGTTTTAAGTACTACTGTACCCATGAACCTCGATACATCCAGAATCCCTAAGTGAAGTGATTTCAGGGTTTGAGGGGTAAGGCTGGACCCAAATGCAGCCAACACAAGGGAGAAGGTGCAGACAGGTTTATTAAACTAACAAAAGAACTTATACACAAGCACAGGGAACCACAGGGGATGACAACAGGAGAACATGAAGAGGTAACATGAACAGACCAAAAACAAACCAGATATGAACAGACTAAGGACAAACCAGACATGGACAGCTCAGGGACATACCAGACATGAACAGGCCACGTGAACAGATTGATGATTAAAAAGACATGAACAGAGCGAGGAAAACCCAGAGAACAACAGACGAACCGACACAGACAAAGGGGAGCACAAAGACTATATAGACAAGGGAGGCAAGGGTGATTGAACACAGGTGAAACACATTAGGGCGGGGCAGACAATCACCACACAGAAACAGGACCAAGACAGGAAGCAAAGACAGAGACACACAAGGAAACCAATACAAAATAAAACAGGAAGTGAGAAAAGTCCAAACAAAACTAACAAAAAGTGTCTGCCATGGCAAACCATGACAACATTGCAGGTTCCTACAAGGCATAATCTGTAGCTTCAGAGATTTTTTCTGCTCAGTGTTTGGATATTTCTTCCTGCTATGTTCCCCCACCCATTGTAGTCGACTTCTCTTTGGTTTAAATAACACACTCTTTTACCTTTGAATGCTCACTCTTAATTTTTAACCAGATTTTGTGGTGATTCAAAAGGGACGATTTCATTCCCATTCTAAACCTTGGAATTGCTTCAGATGGAGGCCCCCTAAGATTTTCTGTTCATATGAATAGCACTTATACTTCTTGAACCCGGGACTTAAAAATAGTCTCACTTCAATACTCTATACATTTTGACTTGGTAGTAACCACCTAAGCAGAGAAATCATTTAGCAAGGGACGACAACCTCTGTGACACATCAGAACTTAGGTAGGAAAAAACTGTTCACCGAAACATTCCTCCATATGATAAACTGTGACGACCCATAAATAAACTACATCGTTTGGTGAGATGTGATGAGTGTGGTGAGCTGGTACCCACCTGACACAGCAAAGCAAACTGTAGACTGTGCTGACACAAATAATTTGCTTTTTCACAGTGGAAGACTTAATGCTTATGGTCCCCACTGTACTATAACAAGAGATAAGTGCAAAACTATACTGTAGATAAATATAACAACATAATATATATCATAGATAGCTAATAGAACCAATTAATAAAGGCAATATTTATACTTACATTTCAATCCGTCCTTCACCTGGATCTACGGATATAACGTGTATAGCAGACCCTATCAAACATATATATTCATCACAGAATAAAAGGGAAAGATTTAACACATCAATTCCTTTCTAAGTCATTCTGCATTGAATGAATACATCAGCTGCCACAGTCATTGGAGCTGGGGATTTTTAAAATCTCAGGTTTAGGAGGACTCAGTAGCATGACTCAGAGACACTGGTTAAAGTTCAAAACAACTTTATTAAGGCTTGGCAGGCAGAAGGGCAAACAATAGGTGAGGTCAGCATGTGGGCTGAGCCAGGCAAACGGAGCAGGCAAAAACTTAAAATCCAAAAAAAAAAAAAAAGCAGGGAAAAAAAGCTGGCAAGCTATGGCATAGAAAGCACAGTAGACAATCNTGGTTAAAGTTCAAAACAACTTTATTAAGGCTTGGCAGGCAGAAGGGCAAACAATAGGTGAGGTCAGCATGTGGGCTGAGCCAGGCAAACGGAGTAGGCAAAAACTTAAAATCCAAAAAAAAAAAAAAAGGCAGGAAAGAAAGGCTGGCAAGCTATGGCATAGAAAGCACAGTAGACAATCCGACAGGGAATAAGTGGCAATGGGCCGGTATAAATACTAAGAGCTAATTAGGGAATTGGGAACAGGTGAGTGGATCAAAGTGACGAGGGTGGGGAAGAATCAGGTGGCTGAAAGGCAGGAAATAATGAATGAATGAACTGTGACACCGTGGACAGTGACAATATTAGGACTGCCGTCCTATTCCTCTATGGAGGTAGGATACTTAAACATGAAGATGGTGATTTAACTTAATCATACTCATTAAAGGATTGCTTTAATTGAAAATAGATTTTAAAAACTTTATAAACTTTGTCTTCTCTATTCTGTGTTTGCTGGTTTAGCATAGGGATACAAAGCTCCCTGCTTACCGTGCACGTTGCAGACCTGACATGGTAACCCAGCAGAGTTTATTGCTCATCATAATTTCTTAAAAATGCTCATCTTGTAAAACCTAGAGTTAAAAATAAAAATATCATATTTAAAACATTATCAAAAATGTTCAGTGCCTCACACTTGCATCTCCATCTCAGACCCACCACTTCCCTTGTAATCATTGGCAGCAGGTGTAAGAGTGTCGTCTGGGTTCAGAGGGCACTGCTCTGGCTGCTTCACCGTGTTGTGTGTCTTGTTTTCAGGGCGGCAAAGCTGCTTGACGTTCTGTGGAAAAAGGTTGGTCATACAACTATCAGTGAGTTCACAATAGCTAAAAATTTTTACTAAAAGTGCAGTGCAGTGGGTATCCCAAACCAGTCAACATATACAATCATATAATAAACAACGCAAACAGTATACAGGCTCTCACGGTGTTCCTCCCTGTCTGTTATTGTCACATTATATATGTGTTATATAGATCTTACAACTTAATGTGGCAATAGTTTAACAAACAGGGAGGAGCACTGAGGGAGGAATATTGCAATCTTGTGCAACTAATGGATGGATTGTCATGAGATTTGGTACAGATATTCATACCACCCTCAGGATGAATTGTAATAACTTTGGTGATCCCCTGCCTTTTCATTATTATTAAATGTTTACAGAGAAATGCTTTTGTGATGTTTTCAGTCCTGTCCCCTGACAAGTCAAATCCAACGGTAAGGTTTTATGGCTGTCCTGGCCTGTTTGGGTAAGTTTAGAGAAATCGACCAGGAATTTATACTTGCACATACAGCAGTGGACTGACCAGCGTGCTGTGTTGCTGGATGATGTTGCTTTGAGCTTTTGCCAAAAGATGAGTCAAGTTCAAATTTTTTTCTGGTTCCTCTGCACCGAGACCTGCTGTTCCAAAGCAGTGGTCACCGTGAAATAAAAGAGGATGCTGAGGTTTTTGATGCTATGTGTTGTTAGTTTTCTTGTTAATTATTTTTGTGTGTATACTACTATCTCGACATAACTGAAAACGAGGGCATGGCCTCAATAATTCTTCAAAATTTAAATAACAGTTGAATTAATTGAATGAATGAACTAGTCGATTCATTGATTAGTTGAACAAAAGAAAAATAAAAAGCAACTATTTCGACAATTGATTCATTGTTAACGTTCATTCTCGCATTGTGAGAATTTGCCACTTTTTCCAGTCATATGTTGTAGTAAATTAAATATCCTTGAGCTTTGGACTATTGGTCTAATACAGAAAGCTATTTCGAGACATCACCTTGGCTTCTAGAAAATTATGTACATTTTTCACTATTTACTGATGTTTTTGCAACCAATCTAATTGAAAAAAAAATAATCATCAGATTAATTGATAATGAAAATAATCATTAGTTGCAGCCTTATTTAAAACTATGGCATTTTCTGAATTTATGCTTTCAAAGTGTATATTCTGTGACTAGAATTACTTTAAAAAGATTAGTGGACTAATTGATTAGTCCAACAATAAGATTTAATTGCCAAGTATCATAACAGCTGATTAATTGTTTGAATAATTTTTCAGTTAAAAAATGGCAAGAACTTGAAATGTGGCAATTTACTGTTTTTCTTTGTCTTGTGTAATCCTAAACTAAATGTCTGAACAGTTTTGGACTGTTAGTTGTACAAAACAAGCAACAGAGGCATTTTTCCACCAATAACTAATGCTCAAACTTCTGACTGAGAAGATTATTTGCAGTTTAAACAGTAATGAAAATAATTGTTAGTTGCAACTCTAGCTTTTTAATGATGTTGGTATTTAGCGTGCCAACAGATTTACCTGTCAAAATGGTGGGAAAATATGAAAAATCAGACGCTTGCAGACACTTATAGGCACAAGCGAATAGATGACCTTAAGTTTCTCACATTTTTAAGCATCATTAGTGTCAAGTTGAGTTATTTTGCCAAGCACAGAGGCATGTGCAGCTGTATCTACTTAATCAGCTTGTCTGTCTTGAGGGCCTCATTGATTCACTGCTGTTTTTTTTTTTTAAGCTTTAAAACTTAAAGTCTGTCTTTAGACTCTGATGCTTGTTTGACAACAGTGGCTTATACTTGTAAGTGTTGCTGGATTTAAATTGGTCTCACTGTTGAATTGCACTTCAGTGACAGTTTTCATTTTCTGCAAAGTAGGAGTGACCTGTTAGCTCACCATGATCCTGATCCTGACAAAGCTGATAGTTCTTAATTTGTGTACTATGTTGTTCTCTTCACTACCTTATATTACAGGGTATCGGCACGTCATGAAAAATCTTAGAAAGCACTGAGTTCAGTTTCTTCAAAATACTTTTTATTGGCAGTCACTTTTTTTGCATGTGGTTGCAGATGTTCAGGAGATGTCACACATCTGTAAATTATAAATGTGACAGTTGTTTGCACACGAGGGAAGGTTTTTTTTTTATTGTTTATTATGGAGTTGTAATGTGTTATTATTATCATTATTATTATTATTATTTATTATTACTACTAGCCAAAGTAGCTATGGAGCTTAATTGATTGATTGATTAATTGATTTTTTAAAATTTAATTTAAGATTACATTTTTGACACTTACCTGGATACAGGCCACATTAATTGATTAACTACATTACTAAAAAAAATGTTTGGAGGTAGTGACAAAAATGGGAAAATGGGATATAAATATCAACAGAAACAAGTTGGGCTCAAACAGACGTTTCAGATCAGCTGAGTAGATGACTTCTGGGATGTTTATCAAACAATTGACTGGTATTTCTGTCAAAGTCCTGCCAACAGACTGTTCTCACACTACATAATCTGTGTCCTTCAGACAGCTAATTAGATCAGAAAGCAGAGTCTACCACATGGGGTTATCCCTAGACTGTGTGTTCCCTTTTCAGTCCCTTTTAAGTCTAAATAGTCACGATAATAACTAAGGTTATGAAACTGAAACTACACTTGTATGCCATTGCTTAAATGAGAACAAAATTAAACGCATTACAAAAGACACACAAAAATAAAACCATAAAAAAAATGTTCCTAGTACCCCAGCCTGGGTTTGATTAAAACCAAATTAAAGGAACAAATGTACTTTCTCTTATCGAGGCAAAAAATTCAACTGAAACCCAGACAGATCAACATATAAAAAACTTTCATATTAATCTCAACGGATCTAATATTGTAATGATCACATAAGTAGGTCTTTTTCTTTACTTAGTACATACCTGCCATATCGTCCCTTTCATCTGAGTAACTTTAAAGATGATCCACAGTGGGACTAGGAGAACACAGAACAGCCCAAGAGACCAGCCCAAAGCGTAGGCCCAGGTCGGGTAGACGTAGGTTTTGTTGAACTTGAGAGGCTTGTATCTCACCAATGAAAAGATGAAGGTACCCTGACCGCAACAACATCAACAACAACAACAAAAAATGGTTATTTTCATATAGTTTCACTGAAATCTGTTCATGGACAACACTTCAATGTGCTTTAGAAATGCTGAACCTGGTTTCATTGTTCAGACTGGGACTAAACCCCCTGTGGTCTGGTGGCTGATTGCGAACACTGGTTGTATAACTTTTCATTTCCTAATCCATGTGTTCGGTGGTTTAATTTTTTTTCTTTACTCTCTTGTCTTTCTCCTCCATCTCGTGTATTATTGTAAGGACAATATTTGTCCTGCTGAATGTCAACATAAACCATGTCTTATGTTTCCAGGAGATATATTCCATGAAGACATAGGAGATATATGACATTCTCTCTCTTCCTTACTCTCTGCATCACCTCGCAGCAGGGAATATTTTTTCTGTAAAAATACACCTGTGTTTTCACCCCAAATAACAAAGAAAAGAGTGTTTCCATCCCTCCAAACTGACACCTCACAGATGTAGTCTGTTTGTCCAAATTAAGTTCTCAGGAAACTCTTTAGAATTCACATTTTTAAAATCCTCACTTCATTTACATCTCTTCCTCATTCCTCAACTCCCACTATCTACAGGGCGAATAGGAGTCAGTGATGAAATCTGAGGACAGAAGGAGAATGGCAGTAAACTCCAAACATCAATGAATGTGATGTTATAATGACCAAAAGGAAGTGAAACAAAGCCACTTCAGTTAGCATTTGTTCATTGCCTTAACTCACGGAAAGGAATCACTTTTCTGTTTTATGGACAAATTAATCAAACTACTACTTCTTTTCAGAAACCTTATTTCACTCACCAGACAAACAGCAGGGGTAATGTAAAGCCAGCAAAACTTCATTATTGGCCATGGACGATAACCAATCATATCTTCAATGTTGTCAAAGAGACGGTCTGCACCTGGTAATAAGAAGGAAAGTTAGTGGCCTGTTTAACGTAAAATCTGTAGAAATCAAAAGGTATTCTACACAGTCACCCAGAACTTTAGCTCGGTGCCTTAAACACACATTTCAAAACATAAATCTCAACCAGTTTTCACTATTTTCATATTAGACAAAATTAGGAATACTGATTAAAAAAAGTTACAAATGAAATGTCGTCAAATATGAAATGTCGAGCAGGCCTACAGAGTGGAGTGTTTAGGTTTGTACAGTTATAAAAATGTACTGCTTAGCTGTAAAGGCCCATAGATAAGGTTAATGCACTTGTTTGCAATTATGCAAACAAGTGTGATGTGTAAATCTATTTCACAAATGATGATGTTTATTGACACTGCTCTGTACTGAGTGTCTCACACCTGACTGAATGAATATTTTTTAATGCCCACAGCACTGGCAACTGGTAGATTATAGTTGTTTCACTTACATACGCCTCATATCATTCACCAGTGTTAACATCTATTATTAATATATTACTGCTATATAATCAAGCTTATGCAATGTGAAACATTTAACACATTAATATAATGTGTTGTAATGTGTGGGTGCTTGACACAGTTACAATAGTTAACCTACTCTAAGTTTCCTTAAGTTAATAATACCTCAGTCACATATTTTCTCACCCTAACCTCAACCCCCTGTGAAGCAGTATTTAAATCCCCTTTGACAATTGGTAGGGGGATGGAGAGGTGGGGGCAGGGTGAATGATGTGTTTTTATAAAGTGAATGTATAGAGCTCTCTTAGATCTTTTGTATTCATTCACATTCAAACAAAGAGTGCCAAAGAAACCAAACACCCCTCCTCAAGAGGATTCGATGTCCATCAAGCTTAAATGAGCTTAAACGGGAGTGATGGAGGGAACAAAGCTCAATGTAAAAGAGAACATAGGAATTAATGTGAGGACAAAATATCTACTCAAAATCAACTGACAAAGTACCCCAGGAGTGAGGTATTGGGCAGAAGTGCATGCCCTGTTGTAAAAAGCAAACAGAGTAAGGGATAACATTCACATTCACCTCATTTAACAGTGAATAAACCAGTTACAGGTTTTAAACCCAGTGAGCATCAATAATAACACTTGCTAATAGTGTAATTGAGGGAGTAATTTCACAGTTTTAGAATAAGAATAAGAAGGTGTTTTGTTTATCCTCATATAGAGTAACTATGCACAGCAGTCCCACTTTGAGGATAAATTATAAGATGACCAGTACTGGATTTTTGAGGCTGAAACTGATCAAAAATTTACAATTATGTATTGGTGGTATAATCCCTTAAATTTAGGTATTAAAGAATTATGACTTAAAAAGCGTGGCTTTTGAAAAGTTGAAAAGTAAATGTGCCAGTGCTCTCTGGTGGACAAACCATGTAATGGTGTCACTACATCTAAATGACCTCAGATATCTTTGATATTTCTTTTCTGGAAATTCTTGGTATTCATCGGTTAATATCAGTGCCACTTCCCATAGTCTGTATATGTGCTAAGATAAAACTAACAAACAAATAATAACTCAGATTCTCTTCTTGAGTTAGTCCTTCTATTAAGAGACATATCAATAACATTGGACATCATAACTTAAATTTGAATATTCAACAAAAAATTGTCTCATAGCATCCTTTTTCTCAGGTCTTATTGACTTCATTTTTCACAGCTTTATGTTTCTGGGGCAGAAACAGTCAATAAAAGTTTTATTGAAAGCATGGTTTGAGACCTACTTTTTGACCAATTAAATCAATGGACATGCTGTGAGTTAGCTCCTGTTATTTAAGGGGATTGATCATAGTTTTTGAAGGCCTACAAGATACTCCACTGGACAAATATAAGATTTGTGAATCAGTATTTTAATAAGGTTTGGGTTGAAAAACAGTGACTGAATGATTTTTTTAAATTTATTTTCTAATCAATTTGATGTATTTTGTGGTATAGATAGCAGGTGTCCTAAAATTTGGGATATTATATATGTGAGCATGGATGGATAATTGAATAGGCATTCTGGGCAGATGCCCAGGAGGCATTAAGGCAAACCAAAACTCAAGAAACATCACCAAAACCGTTGCTAGACCGGAAGAAACATTGCTAACTCCACTCCAGACACTATTCTTATTGGGAACTCTAAGCAAGCAGGTAAGAGTGAAAAAGCCATTAGCTCTCATCTCAGCCCCAATTCCAACGTTAGGGAAAGGAATTGCATGGCTGAAATCCGTGTGCCTCAAAGTTTATTGACAATTTCGATATCTTTTGGAACTGTAAAGACTGCTTTAAATCTGATGGGGTTCCTCCACACATCACTGGATCCAGAGTCAGTCATGCTCTTGGGATGCCATACCCAAACAAGAATGTGTGGATAAGGACAGCCTGTATCTCTCTCCTCAAACCTGACCCTCTGCTCCACATCACCCAAGGCATTCAGACGATGTCTCAGTCCCAATCAGATTACTCAGTGATGTTAAATATGTCACTGTTAAGCCACAGTCAGTCTCCTGTCCTGTCACAAAATCCCTACATCTGAAATTAGCTCTTTATAATGTCAGATCGTTGGCTAACAAATCCGTTTTGACCTGTTAATTGAAAACAATTTGCATAGTATGTTTGTATTAATTTTTTTTAAGACCTCCCGTGTTGCTGGTGTAGCAACACTGATAGAGGCTTGTCCTCCAGACTATAATTTTTTATCAGTCAGTTAGACAAAATAGTTAAGGAGGAGGGATTGCAGACATTTTCTACACAGTGTGTGTGTGTATTGACATTACATGGGTGAATTTACATGATTCTGATATTTTTTAATATCTCTTGAGCCAAAAGCTTGCGATATAAACCTGTTGGGGTGCATTCTCCGGTTACCTTATGAGGTAACTGTAGCCTTTGGCTAGGAATAGATGTCATCAGGTCGTACCCAACCCTTAATCACAACACTCTGCAGTTTGTGGGCCAGCAGTGGTGGGTAAATCACTGTCCATCTACTCTTGGCTTCCAGCTTCCCTCCTACTCCATATCCAGTGAGAGGGGCTCGTTGTGCCTCCTCCCCCATTAGGCAAGCTGCTTGTTTCTTGCTTCTTTCATCCAGGCACAGAGTTGACAACAACCGCCATGTTGATTTGGCTGGGAAACCTCTGCAACTGATCTCCACGGGGATCAAACCATGACTGCCATCCCTTGTCTTTGTATTCCTGCCCTAAGGGTGGGTACTTTGTGACCTTTCTATTGTGGGCCTGTTTGCATCCCTCATCCCAACTCAACCAAACTTATTTCCCAGTCTTTGGTTGACCACAACTCAATGTCTGGGTGCGGGGTTGTGTGCACAACCTTTTCTGTTTCAATCCATTTTAATCTGGTGTGACAGTCATGCATTTTGTACTCCCACCATCCACCAACCACCACTCTGGTGGACTCTCAGGTTAGACAGGAATGTTATCCACCCTCAACCTAGTACGATCTGGACAACGATCCACTACACTGCACAACAGGTGCTTAGCCGAAGATGCTGGCCTGAAAAGGGTGATGTCTGGCTCCAATTGAGAATTTATTCAGATGTTTCAGATTTGCTGGAACAAACAGATACAAATCAGAGCTGAACCAACCAACAGTTCATATTGTGGTCTCACTCAGTGGCTTCAGTCTGCTTCAGTCCAAAAACACGACAAACCAGGGGAAAAAAGGCTTTTAATAATTTGTCACAAAGAATGAGTCATTGTGACTGTTAAGAGAACTTTTTTCCAGTGAACACTTATTTAACCATGATTCAACCATCTAAAACCGTATGATTTGTTAGAATTAAGACAATTCCAACATGCACAAAATAAACATAAAAGTATACTGTTGATTAAGGCAGGATAACCATAATGACTCACCATATATCCATCCAATTGCTATCGTCTGACACACTGAAAGAAGAAGAAGATTGTTGCCACTACAAACATAATGGTCAAAGAGTTGAAGGAAATACAAGCCACCCTGCAGGAAGATAGAGGTTCAAGTGTTAGTGCACATCAACACAAAAACAACACACTTCATTTCAGTTAGATTAGCAGCTCATCGTGCTGTATGACACATTGACCATAATCAGTATCGGCCTGTTTCTGGACAGTCCACAGGCTAACTTTTATTCACTGTGAACTGATCACAAACATGAACATTTCTGGGAGACCACCACCAATTTGAGTTCTCACCTCTGTGACGAGAAGGAGGCCGAGAAAGAAGCAAACAGAGCAGAGACAAAGCAGCAGCAGCTCTCGGCGATAAGCTCTTCGAAACACAGTGGGAAACATGTCCGTCACTGAGGTCATCAGGCACTCAAGACTCACAAACTGCCAGAGACACAGACCAATGAGCTAATTGAAACACTTCATTGAAAACCAAAATAACTAAGATTAACTGGAATTCACAATTTTAAAGTTTAAAGTATGAAGGTAATTTAATGATTAATAGTTGCTAAATGCAAATATGTTGTTTGTTTGTTTGTTTTTATCTCACCTGTGTATCTGCACCCAACAAGATGACCATGACGAAGAAGCATATAGCCCATAGCTGAGGTAAAGGCATCATGGCTACTGCACGTGGATAGGCAATAAATGCCAAACCAGGTCCTGTAACACATGTTCGTCCATTGAATGCCACTTTCCACAATTCATTTCAGATGGAAAGCTTTTTTTTTTTTTTTTTTTTTTTTTTTCTTCTTTTTTTGTTAATGTTTTAGGGTTATTATTATTATCTTACTATATTGATAATTTGTTTTAGGGTTAAGGTTAAAGTAGCTATAATCAATATTTTAATTATAACAATGTATCAAAACAATGTGACAGTGTGAAAGACGTCATAGTGATGAATCATTTGAATCTGCAGCTCATACTTAGCTCATTGTTTAGCTTCAACTTTACTGTTTTGGGTTCACTCATTGCTCTAATAGCAGTGTCTTCAACAACAAAAAAACTACTGTACACTATCAGCTCAGCCCCAAACAGCAGACAGAACACAGTTAGAGACTGGCTGGGACTGTGGACCATCTTGACTTGAATGGCATTATTTTTGTTTCTTGCAATCAAGAAGTTGCAGTGATAAGTTGAACATCTTAGATTAGATCATGTTTCTGAAACCAAGTGGAGACACTGGCAAGACAGTCGAGCTACTGTGAAACCTGCGCAACACTTTATTTTGCAGATCCTAGTATTCAGATAATTTCCTGGAAACTTTAATCACAATTTCCTAAAAATTAGCTGGTACTTAGCTGTAAATCACACATTTCCAAGAAAGGCAAACACAGTTTGGTTCTAATTGTAAGGGGAATAGAGAAAGTGCTATCTGAAAAGTGAAGTTTGTTGATCATGGTAACAGTTTTGAAAAAAAAAAACCCTACTCTTTCAAATGCAGCTGAAAACCAAAAATTTGTGGAAATTCACGTTTTTAATCGTAGCCTGACAAATAATATTTCTGAGGTTGGTATAATTACTGGCATGAATTTTGAAAAAGAAACTATGTATATATATAAAAATTTCAGATAATGTAATTAACACATTTTTGATAAGTATCCTTAAATTCTTTACTGGTTATGAAAGAATTTTGATCAAGATCAGCTCTATAATTATCTGCGGGGGCAGCTCTTCAGGTAAACAGAGAGGATTTAATAAAGTGAACACTGAGTGTAAATATTACAACACAAATTATGTAGTGGTGTTTTTAACCAGAGGCAGCCACTTCAGATATTGGCAGTCCTTGTTCGTAGGACAAGAAGAAACAGAAAAGATTGCACACGCACATCGCGGACCCGCCATTCACCGTGTGTATCTGAGGAAACCCACACCACAGTTTGCAAACCGTGAGTTGTGTTAAAAAGTTACCACACTGAGAAGAAAACTGTAGAACATGACGGAGATAATGGTAAAAGTGAATACTCAGAACACTCTGGCTTCTGAATACAGGGTGAAAAACGTGATTGTCACGTGTTATTTTTCAGTTAATAAAACATTGATGACTGATGATGGGTGATGTAAATGTTAACGTGTGGGTGGATTGTGTTTAAAACCAGGTGTTATTATCTTGTCTTAAATAACGCCTGAATTAGCATGCAGGTTGAAACAGGTCTGCATTTTTTTTAAATCATGCCTGACTAAACAAAGGCTTTTAATGCACTGCACCTTCCCCCTCATTTAATTTCTCTCTCATTTCTCTACACCAGTTTGCTCCATTATTACTTTATATTTTCTACAAACAAAAATGTATGCCATCAGAAAACTTGAAAGACGCTATAACCACTTAAAATTTAAAGAAGTGGAGACTCTTTATAA